ATTTTGTGCCAAATTGAAAAATTAAGTGCCATTTGAAGTAAAATAGGAACAAATGGCACGGTTTGAGCCAAGTTGGCATCCCTGCTTCCAATAACTTACAAATATAAAAATGTGAAATATCGAGGGCTTGAATTCATTAATACCCTCTATCTGCAATTTGCACAAAAACTAATTTGGGATTTTAGAAACCATCTGGGACTTATTACCTGTCGTTATATAAGGTAACATTAATATCACTTATGACAGTTAAAGCTTAGGTGGATTTTTATATCAGAATCCCATCATTGTGAAAAGTGTGCAGATAGGGGGTATTATTGAATATAAACCCTCGATGTTTAAAATATATAAAAATTTTATTTCAACGTATACAAAAAATAAATCTACCTGCGTTACAGCACGTCGTGAGACGGGGAAGGGGGGCCGGGGGGGCCCGCGGCGTAGCGTGACGTGGTGTGCGCGCCGGTCGCGCTGGGTACGCGGGAAGCGAGCGCGAGCGCGACGCGCGCGGTGTGGCGCGCTGACGCGGGCCGCCGCGAAGCTAAGAAAATTTAATGTTTGAAAGAGAAATAACGTCAATTGATTTTATTTCGTTTTTAAAAAGGTAATAATGTCAATTGACTTTATTTCGCACCAGGGTGCACCAGATGCTCAAGGAATATTTCTGCATCAAAAATAAAATTTTGAAAAAAATGTCGCTTACGTTATTTTGGCGGTTAGGGCTCGATATCGTCCCGTTTCTGCGTTAACCTCGTATCTGCGATAGAGTTATTTTAGAGAGTGTAAGAAACAAAGCTAATTTTCTTCTCCTAGGATACAGTAAACGCATTTTTTATTTAATATTTCTAGTTCTATTAACACTAGTGAGCACCCACATAAGGTCTTTGTTTTATTTTCAAATAGTGTGACACTTAAATTGCTGTTATAAGTGGTAATATTAGTTTTCCCAAAAATTGTAGATACGTGGTTAAGGCAGAAACGGGACGATATGCAACTGTGTATAAAATCTAATTTAACGACTGTCTGCTAATATAGATAATATATTTACATATAAATTAACAAATAATTAAAAAAAGCCTCCACACACTTCCTAAACTGGATTTCAAGTTGAAGGCACGAGAACGCACTTAAAATAAAATCAATAGAAAATTTTGATTTTTTTTTTTTTGGTTCATCAAGGCTGGATTAGTCACAGCGGACAGAATATTAGACTACTCAAGTGTGAATCTACCAAAGTGTAAATGTAGAGTAGGTAAACGTCCACACATGGCATCTGAAAGGCGAAAAGAATCATTTTGTTTATTTATTTAAGTAATAAACACATTTGCGCTGAAGTGGCATCTTTGCTATGCAAAACGAGGCATTGTTTTAGCATTTTTCTAAATATTTGATTGCGTTAAATTTGAAAAAAACTAGTTAAAATTTGGGCGACCTTCAAAGTAAATATTTATTTAAGACCTTAGCATCTGTTTTATTTAATTTATTTATAAATTATCGTCTATTGACTGCTTCTTTCTCGTTTACTTTCCAGCGAAGAAAACTATATTAAAAGGCATTTCTGGCACATTCCGCGCTGGCCAATTAACAGCGATTATGGGCCCCTCCGGGGCAGGTAAATCGAGTTTGATGAACATATTAACTGGTCTGACGTAAGTTTGGAGAATATTAATGATACATACATAATTATATAAAATAATGTATATTTAATTAAATAATGCAAGTCTGAATTTGAAGAAGAATCTTAATTTGCATTCGACTAAAACAGGCTTATTTTAATATTTATTAGGTACTTAATCTATTCTAGATGGCTATCAGTGGCTTTGTAATAAATTTCTTATGAAATAGTAAAAACACAACCAAAATTTAAATATTGCAAAACATTATCCATTAATACCTATGTAAGTTAGCTTAGGTTAGCTTGGCTGATGCGTACGATCTCACGTAGACCATTGGTTGGACATTAGGTCATGTTATGCGGCAGTTCTATATGAGGGACTCACTTATATTCAGGAACCTTGTGATACCCTTTAAATCACTTGGCGCTTAGCAAGAATGTACATACGCTGCTAGATTAGATTAGATTCGATTAGATTTAGAAGAGAGCGCAGATCACCTATATAGTTACGGTGACCGAGAATGATCTATTGTAACAAATCTCTATTTGGCCACAGGTCTTCTTTGATCAACCTATTACTAAGAAACCTCGCGAGGTCCTTTGGCTGTATGTGTGCTTCTATATACCGTGATCCCAGGAAGTGAAGTCTAGTGCTAGTGATGGCTTTATAGTGGAAAATAATGTTCGCTGCTGTTTTCTGTCCTTCATGGCACAACAAATACTGATCAGAGTTTACAACTCCTATGTTTGGCAAGTGTTTCGTTTCCCTGCAGTAGCCGGTAAGAAAACCTACTTCATGCCTACTGAGGTGAAAAAGTTCTCCGGTTTTCCTTGCTGATAAATCGGGAACGAAGGACTTAGCCAGTATGTTACCTTCCGTACTTGTTTAGTAATTTTGCGCTTCGGTCTTCATCCAAATGAAGTAGTTTCACCTAATTTAGCTCCATAAAAAGTCGTGTGACTATGAATCAGTTTGCATTCCCTTTTTTAGCGAGAATATTTTCCTCTAATTTCCCATGACTCCATTGAGTCCCGATGCCCAGATGGAGTAAAACTGGTCTATGGATTCGATAAGTATTAAAAGCTGAAGGCAGTCCCACACCAGCTTTGAGGTAATCTCGTGCGCTGTAAGAGCCTGGAGCGCCGTTCTGCTGTTCGAGTGTACCTACATATATAGACGTATTTGTTCGTTGTCCCAATGTCTACATGCTGCCTCAGACATAGTTCAATGGCGTGCACCTCGGCCTGAAAAACAGATTACCTTGCTCTATTCTGGTGAAAAGGAGCCTTCTTCGTTATAAGCCGTAGACTCCTACTCCGAAGCCGTGGTCAGAATTAGAGCCATCAGTATGCCAAATGTAGCTGTCCTTCCGGGTTTAGGTCATTTAGCGTTAAGGTTGTCCAAGTTGGTTCTGTTGAGAACAAATACCCTAAATTTTTATGCGATTTCCTTGTCGTTATAGTTTACTGAGTTTGGTCTGCGTGACCTTCACTTCTGCCATCTTCCATCAGGCGGACTCAGCATAAATTGGTGTGCGCAGAGTGGCTGAGCCATCGCATCGCATCGCATCGGTCGCATTGAGCAACAACTTTTGAAACCAACGCCATTTTTTCAGGTATTTAATAACCGCCTGGCTGTAAGTGAAAATGTAGATATAATGACCGGGAATCGTATCTTATTTTACCGGCGATGCGATCCTTGCGATAGCGAGATAGTTTCGTCTGAAAAAACATTGCAGTAGTCAGGAAGGCGGAAGCCAAAAGATACCACTAATTGTTCCGAATAAGTCCCAACCCAACTTCTTTGTCGAGTTTTAACTCATCCGTGCAAACATTTCTGTGATTTCTCTGACTATACTCAATGCCCACTTCCTCTCTTGAGGGATTACAGATCATGAACTTGATCTTGGTAATGCGGATGAGTGCGACTTATGTACATAGTCGGTTGTAGGAAATCCAGTAAGATCGTCCAAGATTTTGTAGTGTTCGATATGTGGATGCGACGATTTATGTCAGTGTTACCAGCCGTCGAACCTTGACTACTTCTAGTTGGTCCTTAGCGCTTGAGAAGAGTTTTAGCAGAGCCAAGGTGGCTAAGTCGCGATATGCCAAAAGCTAGACAGTGACACAAGAGAAGTTCTTGTGCGCCCTCTTTACTTTGTGTCGCCTAGGTCGTTCAGATATCTCAATGTGTGTCGGGTGTATATATTTGTAATGCCGAATGTGCCATTTAAAAAATACCATAGGGCTATTCAGGATCTCGTACATTTGTAAATTTACAACAATAAAATGCCACCGCTGGTATAGTAGCAACCACAAAACTTGCAAATGCAAATGCACTTCCAAGACTATTAGCACAAGATCCTGAACGGCCCTAATGTGGAAATAAACTTAATTACATTTTTTATTAGCTTAATGACACAGGTATTTTTTAGTGAAAAACATTGCCATAAAAATTGTTGTAATTTAATGCGCAGTGGAAATGCGATATGAGCATAAATTTAATTATTCAGCTCACCCTTATGTCAACATATGTATGTATGTACATATGCATATATGAATGTATATGTATGTAAGTCTGATGGAACATTTTTGTTGGTGATGCGTAATTAATGCTTGGGTTTTTATGGAATTAATTGCCGCTTTAATTAAATATTTACATTTCACTGTCTAAATGCCTTGAATGTTTTGCAAAATTATGCGCAAATATAATTAATGAAACAAGCAAAAACAAAAGCATACATACATACATACATATGTATGATTTACATTCATTTTCCGTTTGCTTTTTCATTCTATAGCACAAGCGGCGTTACCGGTACAGTACACTTTGGTGACTCACCTACGAAGTCGCGCAAAGTTTGTTGTTACATAATGCAAGATGATCACTTCCATTCGTGGTTCACGGTTGAGGAGACAATGCTGCTGGCAGCTCAGTTAAAGATCTCCAACGATTCGATGAACATGAAGGAAAAGAAAATGCTGGTAAGTGTTTATGCAGCGCAATTACCGAGTATTATTTATTACAACTCAAGGTCAAGTTCAAATACGATCATGTTGCGGTAAATTAACTTTGCCCAGCTAAATGTTTGTAATTTGAATACAAGAAAGTTTAGGGCTGGTTTCTCCAACTCAACTTAACTTAGTTAAGTCAATTTTCTTGACTTAGTCAAGAATAAGCTGTGTAAAACGTAGGCTAACTTTTGACTTAAGTCCAAAAAGTGGCTAAACTAAGTTAAGTTGAGTTGGAGAAACCAGCCCTTTGTGTTTCATGGTGACGATGATGCTCCCATACCTAAGAAATTTCAGTGCAAGTTATCGAGATATTCGCCTCCAAATTAGCCGAATTTGCCTTAATAGCTGATTTGCCTTTTAAGTCTGGTTTCTCTGAGATTGGATAAAAAGGTAATGTTTTTTTTTTGAAGCGAATTTGAAAGCTAATCCAACCTTTCAAACTTCATTTGTCATTATGGTCTTACATCCATTACTCGTTACCATGCGCACAGCTAAGCGAACAGGTCTTTGGCAACCCTACAGAGACGCACTCAAAGTTTTCAAGAAGGCCATAAAGAGGCTGAAACGCGAATATTGGCAAAACTTCTGCAACCAACAACATAGAAGAGAACTCTGAAGCTAACAGGCTGAGGAAAGTTCTCTCGAAATCCTCTTCAAGTATGAACTAACGAAATGCTGGAGGTCCTTATGAGCACTAACTTCAAGGGGCTGCTCGGTCCACACCTCCCGCTTTTCGCCCGGTCCTTGGACCTACTTCTCTCTGAGTGATACCGTTAGGGACGTCGTAAGTGAGGAGAGGGTGGAATGGGCTTCAATTTCCTTTCAGCCCTAAACATCTCCGGGCCTTGACGGAATCTTTCCCGCTTAACTACAGGAAGCTCAGGACATACAGTGCCCCCTGCTTTCTCAGATTTTTACGGTCATCACATACCACACGAGTGGACAAAGGCAAAAAAAGTTGTATTCCTTCCAAAAGGCCGCCTAGTCTCGAGACAGCTAAAGTTGAAGGTGTCAGCTAAACTAACATGTGACTTATTAATTTATTGTTCTAATTGCGTACAATTAAAATTATTATTTCTTTGCTATAACATTTAACTTAATTTACACTTTCAGATAGAACATTTATTGGACACCTTAAAGCTATCGCCAGCTAAATTCACACGTGCTGGAAATTTGTCAGGCGGTCAAAAGAAACGCTTGTCAATTGCCTTAGAATTAATTGACAATCCAGCGGTGCTGTTTTTGGATGAGCCAACAACGTAAGTTTTTTCGGCATTCACTTTAAATTCTATAATTTGCTACTGCATCTGGTTAAATATTACATATGTATTTCTTCTAATATTTTGCTAACCTTTAGCGGCTTGGACAGCTCAGCCTCTTCGGATACCATACAGCTGTTGCAAACGTTGGCCAATGAGGGTCGCACAATTGTCTGTACTATCCATCAGCCCTCCTCTCATGTCTACAGACTTTTCAATCAGATCTATGTGCTGAGTCGGGGACACTGTACATATCAGGGAACGCCGCAAAATACAATTGATTTTTTGAAGACGGTCGGTTTGGAATGTCCAACATATCATAATCCAGCGGATTTTCGTGAGTATAAATAAAAAACAGTATTCTGAGAGATTTTATAAGTTTCCAAAAATTAAATTAAATAAAAAAACATATCCTTAGAGAACAAAAAAATCTAAAATGAAAGAAATATAGATTAAAAAAAGAAAAACCAAAATAATTAAAAAGATAAGCCCCTAAAAATTTAATTGAATTAAAAAAATTATATTTTTCTTTTAAAAACCATGAAACCTTAAAATTAAAAGAAAATAAATTTAAAAAGTGACAAAAAATGTTTCTACAAATTAAATGATAATAAAAACTTTAATTTTTTAAACAATAAAATTTAGAAACTAAAAGAAAATCAAATTGAAAATGGGGGAAAAAATTAACAAAAAGTAAAAAATTCAAAAAAAAAAGTTTCTAAAAATTAAATTAAATTAAAAATATAGATATTTTTTTCATCAAAATAAGATTAATAATTGAAAGAAGGGAGCAAAATGGTCTTTGAAACCAGGTTTCCTATATTTTAATCTTCTAATATATACATATAAAAATCTCGTGTCACGGTATTTGTGGTCGAACTCCTCCTAAACGGCTTGACCGATCTTTATGCAATTTTTTGTGTATATATGGTAGGTATGAGAATCGGATGTAAAGTATATTTCACAGATGCAGGGGGCGTGGCACCTCCCATACAAACCGAATTTTTCATATTGCATATCTCTGGAAGTGTTCATGGTAGATGGCTCGACCCTATTAAGGTGGCATTTCAGCGTACCTACTATTTGTTATAACGGGTGATTTTTTAAGAGCTTGATAACTTTTTTTTTAAAAAAAACGCATAAAATTTGCAAAATCTCATCGGTTCTTTATTTGAAACGTTAGATTGGTCCATGACATTTACTTTTTGAAGATAATTTCATTTAAATGTTGACCGCGGCTGCGTCTTAGGTGGTCCATTCGGAAAGTCCAATTTTGGGCAACTTTTTCGAGCATTTCGGCCGGAATAGCCCGAATTTCTTCGGAAATGTTGTCTTCCAAAGCTGGAATAGTTGCTGGCTTATTTCTGTAGACTTTAGACTTGACGTAGCCCCACAAAAAATAGTCTAAAGGCGTCAAATCGCATGATCTTGGTGGCCAACTTACCGGTCCATTTCTTGAGATGAATTGTTCTCCGAAGTTTTCCCTCAAAATGGCCATAGAATCGCGAGCTGTGTGGCATGTAGCGCCATCTTGTTGAAACCACATGTCAACCAAGTTCAGTTCTTCCATTTTTGGCAACAAAAAGTTTGTTAGCATCGAACGATAGCGATCGCCATTCACCGTAACGTTGCGTCCAACAGCATCTTTGAAAAAATACGGTCCAATGATTCCACCAGCGTACAAACCACACCAAACAGTGCATNCTTGAAAGTTAGGGGTGAAGGTCTCGAGGCCCCGTAATATTACAAGATAAATGCTTCACTAAAAATCATGAACGGGAACTGTTGGTGAAAATGTTCGACAAAATATTTCAATACAAAAATTAATTTTGGGCGGGATGAAGTTCGCCGTGTCTGCTGGCAGTTTATAAATTAATTTATAATTTGTAACAAAAATAAATAAATAAATGTTGTTGCTTTTAAAACAAACAAATCTTAATATCAAAAGAAAATTAAATGCAAAAAACCAGACTTTCACTGAAAATCATTAATCTTCTAAATTGTGAAAATATTAGTTGAAACTATCAAAAATTCTTTGCATTTTCATTTTTTTCATTACTCCGCTTCCTCAGTGCTGGAGTGCGTTAATGGTGAATATGGCGATCATACCGATGGTTTAGCAGTCGCTGCTTTGCAGCCCAAATGGCGACACGATTACGATGCGGACGCACAACAACATTTAGATGGGTTGAATGGTGTACAAATTGTGAAAATGATTGAGTCGCAGCAAGCAGCGGAAAAGCCACATTCACCCTCGATAACGCCGCCAATGTCCGCTACGAAACATGTTTACCCGCCGCCTGAGTGGATGCGCCTATGGCTGTTGATCGGTCGTTGTCATGTGCAATTTTACAGAGATTGGGTAAGTGTGTGGAGGCAAGACGGCGTGCATGGCAGAAGAAGTGGAAAACGAGCGATGAAATATAAATACTGATTATTAATTTATTTTTTCCTCCTCTGTTTTTTTTTTTTATTGTATTTCGACAGACGGTGACCTATTTAAAGTTGGCCGTGCATATTATATGCGCTTTGCTGATTGGTTTCATATATGGTGACTCTGGTTCGAATGCAACGAAGCAGATTGCAAATTTAGGTTCATTCACAATACACAATACATATCTGTGGTATACGACAATGATGCCGGGGCTTTTAAGATGTAAGTCAATATTTTGAATTTTATATGCAATTTGAGTAAAAGGAGGTAAGACAAATAAAGTTGGGGGATTTAAGTAGTTTTATAAAATAATAAGTCGGGAGGAGAAATCTTAGAAAATAGCCTAAGTTGTGAACTATCTTTTAAAACTACAAAATATTGACATTGTTAACAATATCATTAACCGCAGCAATAGCACTTCCGATAATGACATTAAATAATATTATAGTTAAAAAAACTAAAAACACGCTTTTATTACAACAAGAACTAAAAAGTATAAAATAATTTGTAGATATAGCGATTCCGTTTAAGAAGAATAGGAAGTTCTCTAACCTGATTTAATTTAACTGTNTGGCAACGGATATCGATATGAGTAGGGACTATACTGTCATAAAAGCTACCAATAACGACATGGGTAACAATAACAACATAAAACGATGATATCGACCATAAGTTTTTAAATAAAGTACATACATATTGGGAATTTCACCAAAAGATATCGATGTGAGTTGCCATTAAAGTTAGAACGATAAAAATATGACGATAACGGTAACGAGAACGATAACAGTACATATGTAACGATAATATCTACCGTAGCCTTTATCATGGTGGTATTGATAACGATGGCACGATACCGATAACCATCAAAAATAACGATAACAGAACTGATATCGAAAACAGTATAAAACGATGACATCAAACAAAATCTATCATTGTAGTGTTGGAGACGATAACGAATGCCGCTAACAGTATATAACGATAATATCAATTGTATTTATTATGGTATTGAGAATGATGGAAAAATATATCGATATGAGTAACGATTATACCGATAAGGGTAAAGAGTAACGATAACAAAACCGATAGCAATAATATAATAAAAAGGGTTATATCGACCGCAATGTCTATCATTGTGGTATTGAACATGATGGCGAGAAATTTTTACTAACCACTATACTTATAACGATAAGAACAACGATAAAGATATCGATAACAACGATATTGTTGATCGTTACGTATATCATCAATACTAATGATAACGATGAAAAAATTTGAGTATCGATTAGGCTGGTGGCAAGAAATGTTATGTGTAACTGTTTCATCGATAACGATTAAAAAGTAATGATAAAGGTATCGATAACAATAATAACATGTCTCTTTAATATCTTTCGTTTTGTCTATCATTATGGTATTGATAACGCTGACAAAAATTTTCGATTCAAGTAACGAATACACCGAATACGCTAAAAAATAGCGACAGCATCGATTACAATACAGTATAAAAGGATGATTTCGATCGTAGGCTTATCATTGTGGTATTGATTACGCTAGGAAGAGATGTTGATATGAGTAAAATTTTTATCGATAAAGATAAAAATACTGAAAGTTATTTCGATACCTAAGTTACAATAAAAAATTATTTTGTCACAGATTACAGAGAAGATTACACTGGTCAGCAATGATTTTGGAAAAGAGCAGCTCTTTTCCAAACTAGGACCTTGTACTGATTACATATACAAAAAAAAAATTGTATTTCTTAAAGATCGATTATATCATGCAGGTGAACATTTTTTCAGATAGCCAGGTGGCAATTCAGGCTCTCTGTTGTTGTCGTTTTCGTGGCTTTTCAATCCTACCCAGGATTCGCCAATTCTTCAATTGTTGTCATCTTTTTCGACTAGATCGGATCGAAAGGAAAGGAGTGTTATGTGATACGGTGTTTGGTGTACTGAGATGAATCTTTAAACGCAGGAAAAACATTAGGTACGTCGGGGTCAAGTCTGGATAAGTAGAAGTTTAACCTACAGCAGAAATCCACGAAATTGTCCCGAAACCCAGACGCGTTGCCAAAAACTATCGGCCAAATACCGAGACACTCAGAAAATACAACACATAGAAACCCGAAAAGTTCTAAAAAATCTCCAAAGTTCTTAAAAAATTCCCGGAAAATAAAAGACGAAGAGCAAGGGTGAGAGTCGAGTGGCCAACCAGCCATGAAAAAAAAAAATCATATGCCACCACCCCAAATAGAACAAAGTTAGCAATTATTTTCCATCTCTTATTAATTATTATTAAGTGCCGTTTACACAGTGCAGAGTTAAGAGACGTTAATTGTTAATTTTCAGCACATTTATTATTCATTATTTAACAAAAACAAATCCTTATTTTCTCATTCGCTTTCAGTTCCACAAGAAATTAGTATAATCAAAAAGGAAACATTTAATCACTGGTACAAATTGCGAACCTATTACATGGCAACGCTGATAACATCCACTCCGGTGCATGTAAGTTTAGTAGTTTTAGATTTAAATTTTTAATAGAATTTACATAGAGCACGCTCCACTAGTATGCGTATCACGTGTAAAAATTAATATATATTTAATGGTGTTTTTCTACGCCTTTTTCTAGATCATATTTTCTATGACTTACATCACAATCGCCTACCTGATGACGGATCAACCTTTCGAAATCGAACGTTATGTCAAATTTATGTTAACAGCAGTGGTGGTGACGATATGCGCTGATGGATTGGGCGTGCTGTTGGGCACGATACTAAATCCAGTTGTAAGTAAATAAGATATTTTCGAAAGGCGCTTCGCTCTAATATTAAGAAGAAGTAATATCATAAATTGATTACTATCAAAAATAAACTAAAATATGAAATCTCAGTGAATGAGGGAAGCACTTAAGTAGAGTTAATTGCTGTAAAAATAGCATGTGTCGAAATATATAGCAGCTAGGATAAGTCAGATATTTTAAATCCAAGTTATTCAGCTTATTAGGCATATCAGAAAGACGTCTGTTAAGTCCTCCACGGACCAGATCGGCGTCAACGGAGTGTAACTTTCCAGTCAAGCAGGCCAAGATTTAGTATATACAAACTTTTCTACGCTGAATCAGCTTATGTTTATTAGTTTTACAAGTATAATTGTCCGGAAATATGAAAATTGCCTTGATTATTTATTTATTTCATTTTTTATTAAAAAAGAACCTTAGGAACATTTGCATTCAAATTGCAATTAAAATTTAATTAGTTGCCACTATATTGAAACGATCGTCATTGTCTAGTGCTTATCATTTTTCCATTGATTTTTTTTTTTATAAATAAATATTCATATAAGATTTATTAAACTGCGACTGTTTGTTTCCTTATTTTCTTATTTACAGAACGGCACGTTTATTGGCGCTGTATTGACCTGCTTCATGCTAATCTTTTCCGGATTTCTTATACTACTCACTCATATGTCGAGTTTCATGCGGGTACTTTCGTATTTGTCGCCGATCCGCTATGCCTTGGAAAGTATGGTGCTAGCGATATATTCAAATAATCGAGGAAATATGTTCTGTCCGATGGATGTGATGTATTGCCATTTTAAGTAAGTTAATACGCAAATATTAACATTAAATTCAGTTGGACATCTATTGTTTATCAGCGGTTGTTATTTAGTACATTAGTGCAGAATTGTGGTCTACATATGGCGGTTCGGGAACGCTAACATTGCGACCTTGCTAGTTTTATTGTTGAGAGACTTCACGAGAGAGAGTTGTAGACCGCTGAGATTGCCATTTACCCTTTGGACTGCAACCTGAATAAGTTCGCTCATCTTCGTAGGGGCTCCTGTATCCCATGGAAGGACCGCGGAAAGGTCGAAGGCCTTGCATTATGCGAGAGCATCAGCCCTTTCTTTGTCGGCTATCAGGCTCAGAACTAACTATACATGTATATGTGCGCATGTCTTGTATTACAAATAATGCATTTCCGATGCTGGGGAACCATTTCTTCGGCTGTGTGTATTAGTTCAAAGATCGGGCTTTCTTAATGAGAAGTAGGGTAAAGGTTTTTGGAGAAATCTTCTTTTCTGAGACTTTGAGACCACCAAAGAGTGAAATTTTGAGGTGTATTTCGCAAAAAAAGGTCCCCCATATCTTTCGAGATACCCTAATGCAACCTCATGAAATATTAACATATGTTTGGGGAGTTTATATTTATATACAGGGTGTCCTAGATCACCTGTCCACTTCTGCTGAAATGGAGGCAAGCCGGGAGACCCTAATACGACCAAAATATAGAGCATCCCTGACTTGGAAATTCATACTTTTTCGTTTTCCAATAAAAATATTTTCTTCCATTTTAGAAGTCCCTAACACGACCAAAATATAGAGCATCCCCGACTTGGAAATTAATAGTTTTTCGTTTTCCAATAAAAATATTTTCTTCCATTTTCGAAGTCCAGGACGAGTTGACGTTCAAAGGCCATTTAGAGATTGAAAAAGGCACTTCCTGGAAAAAAGTTCCAAATAAAGTTACGTATTTTTATCCGCAGAATCCGGATCTGTAGTAGAAACAGGTATATTTCGGTCAAAACCGTAAGTCGATAGTATGACCAAAAGACAGCGCTTCTCCGTCTTTGTGGCTCATATGTTTGCGTACGGTTGAAGTTTTGAAAAAAACGCGATAATAAGTTCTCCGAGAATGTTACTGGTTCACGAATTTTATTACAATTTTGTCTTTGATATGTAAACTTCTTAGCTCTCAGTCCGGGTAAAATTTGCGTTAACCCAGCAGAAAAAACAGACAATACAAATTGTATTTGCTTCAGGATTATTTCAGGCCTATTTAGTGACTTGTTCAGTATCATTTTACCGACTAGTTCACGTTTATTTGAGGACCATTTTGAGACTAAGTCAGGAACATTTGGGTCTAGCACCAAGAAAATTTCATGACTACCTGGTACTTACGGATTATTTTTGTTTATTATTTTATTTCTTAATTATTTTTGCGTTAATGAAGAATGCTCCCTAATAAAATTTTGTCGTATGTTACATTTGGCAACAATTTTGCAGACATATTTTATGACATTGGATAAATGTGATAAAAATTTGAAAGATCTTTATTAATTTTGTATAACTGCATTATTTATCAATCGTATTTCGCTCACTTTTCATATACATAGGACGTTTATTTATCCTATATGTATATATTAGGCCTTGAGGCAGAGTCACGTAGGTGCAATGAACTTTTTAATAAAATACCGCATTTATTTTTTTCTTTCTCATATTACTAAACATTTTTTTTTTTGCAAATAGGCTCCTCTGGCCCTCATGGTCTCATATTTATAGATATTATATTAAATATACTTTAATTTTTTTCCACAGAAACGCCAGCACAGTGTTGCGCAGTTTTGGTATGGAAAATGGAAATTTCGGAATGAATATATTTATCATGATTTTACAGTTGTCAGCGTTCAAAGGACTAGCTTACATTATGTTGAAGCGGAAGCTGCGAGCGTAAATTATTAACATATGTACATGTGTCCATTAGGGTGAATCAGGGAAAAAAATATATTATATTCTAAGACTTACGCCACAATATTTCGGAAGTATATAGAGATTTACGTGAGCTGAACTGTTTTGAAAATGCCATCAAAAAACTCATTACATATTTTGGTTATGTTGATACAAATTTTCAAATTTTTATGCAGACCTTTACAGGCGGCGTGCGTCTGACTCGCGAGTCGGTTTGGATGTGTTAGTGAAAATAAATATGTGTTCAACTGAGGTAATTTTTTAGAAACACAAATATTTTTTAAAATTGATTTTATTTACAAAAAAAACTCGAATTTCGGAAGTATTTTCAAGTCCCAGCTCACGTAAATCTTAATAAGTTTTCATTTTTTTTTTTGGGCGACAGTCTTAAAATATACTAGATTTTATAATTATGTTGGAAAAACAATAAGGGTTTTTTAGTATGAATGGTGATGCACCCTAATGTACAAGCATAAAAATACATACTTAGAGCTAAAATTTTATATTTAATACACTACGCACATAGTTATGTGCATATGTAACTTAAGGGTTACCATAAAAAATATTTTTATATTAAATAATTAATCGGTGTGTTGTAAATATAAGGCTTACAGCCAATTTCACGAAAGCAATTTAAATGAAAAATGATTTAAATTTTTTGAATTTTTTCCCCATTTAAATTGCTAGTGAAACAGGCTGTTAGTATAAGTAAAATTAGTTAAGAAATATGCTAGAATGTGAAACAAAAAAGTCGTTTTTAAGAACTGAAATAATGTGAATATTTAAAATATTGCCGAACCAGCCAAAAATTAGTTACAAAGAGAACGATATTCTAAAAAAAAGCGATGCCTATGGGAAATAATTGTGCACATAACTAAATACAAATACAAAAAAGAAAAAATTAAAAAGAAATCACATGTCCAGCCAGTCATTACATATATACAAAACATTTGCTTTATTAAGAACAATTTTTTTTAGAACAAAACATGCCGCAAAATCATATAATTGTAAAGCGTTTTACAAATGCACAATATACTTAAATACAAAAAATTATGTGTGATAGTATTATAATACATAACAATTACATAAGTTAAATAAATATTTACAAACACAAATAACGATATGTACATAATACATATGTATGTATGTGTATTTATGTATGTTGATGTAACATTTACAAAACACACAAAAATTAAGAAAAGAGCAAGACACTTGTGCATGCTTACATATATGTATATTAAATAATAGTTTATGTGATATAAGACGTTCGTGCCTACATACTTATTGCATATGTAATTACATTTTTGCATATAAATATCTACTTATACATATTTATCATATACGAGCGTGTACAATTTTAAAGTACATACATACATACACTTATGTATTTAGATGCAAGCACAATTCTATGCAATTTTTTATTGAGTAGATATGGAAGAATTTGTTACATAAGATTGCAAACGAGTACAGTTAAGTGATTGTAACATGGCAGTTTAAGTTATATTTTTATCTGCACGCCAATGTTAAGCGAACTAATAACGATGAAATACATACATACATACATGGAAAAAATAAAACTTTAACCAATTGCTGTTTTATTTCAGTACCTAAGTTGGTGTCATATTTAGCTGTTCCTCTATGTACAGTAATAATAATAAAAATAATAATAAATAATCGTAAGGGCTAAGCTCAGCACCTTACCTGGGTCACACAGGGCGGATCGTAAACGGCTTACTCCGGTAGGTTAGCTGCAAATAACCAATAAGCAGTCCCAGCCGAAGAGCGGCAGGAGACGAGGACCTGATTTAAAAGATCACAAATGCTTGATGAATCTCCTGTGTCCCGGCGAACAGATGCCGCCTCCCAAAAATCGTCCCAGGATTGAGACCATTTAGATCCTGTTCATGGCAAACTGAAGCATGTATATGATTAGTTCGATAATGGGCTGGCGAGAGCAGTGCTCCGCCACTTTAGTATGTGAGGGTGACACCTCTCAGAAATGGCTGGTGGGCTAATGCTGCAATCGCCCCCGTCTCCTTAAAACCCTGGCAGGTCTTCAAGTACGTTCAATACACGTCGTCATTTAGTTGGCCGCACAGGTCCAGTTGAGATTTACTCCTGGTTTTGCGCTGTCTTGGCTCTGAACACAATATCCCATAAGGACTTGTGTCAACCCTCGCGATGGCCTGCTCCTTTAAGAGAAGGGAACTTCGGGACACTTAAAAGCGACAGTGCTACGTGTGAAGATAGCGGCTTGAAGCGGAGACCCAATTGATTGGAAATAAATAAAATAAAACAAATAAATGAAACCAACGTCGATGTTAAGGAGGAAGAATGCAGCGCATTCAGGAAGAGCAGTAGAGTCGTGCGCTCCCCGCCACAAACTCCTCTGCAGGCATGCCGGCACCACGAGCACGGAGAAAGCCGCCGACGTGGCGCAATAGGCTACACCTTGCCAAACGACAACTCCCGGCAGCCGGGATAATCGTCGTCAAACGCCGGCTGCTGCAAACAGCGACAAGCATGCCAACGCAAGCTTGGGAACTTACGAAGGCATTGAAGATGAGCAATTGGCACAGATTCGGCTCGTCTTGAAACAGATGCAGAGTGCTGTCTCCAAGCAGAAAAATGTGTCCATGGACATAAAAACGGATATGGCCCAAATCGAGGAGAGCTTAAATATACTAAGCTACCTCCGAGAGCAGCGCCGGAAGGGGTCTACCCTTTCCGAGCTGCGGAAAACTGGCCCTGGCTCGCAAAAGAGAGGTCGAACTCTATCCGACTCCCCTACAGGCGAGCCGGAAAAGAAAATAATACTAATTATAATAGTAAGACGTAGCAGCGTCCGACCCCGCTGCTCTCTGCGCGGTGGTTGGGGTTAGCAATCCATATCGCGGCCGAGCCTGATTGGTCAACATGCCAGGTTTCCTTTGTTCTATAGGGTTCACTGATGATTACAGCGTCTGCTCTTTGTTCAAGAACCAATTGATGACCTGCTGGACCAATTGCGCGATATTATAACCGGCCACATAATTGTTGCTGGAGATTTCAACGCAAGAGGCGTGGAATGGGGTATGCCCCAAACAAACACCAGGGGAAGACTGGTCCTTGAAATGGCAGCCCGCATTGGCCTGACCATCCTCAACACCGGAACGACCCCTACATATCGAAGGCCGGGTTTTGGATACTCTATCCCCGACATAACCCTGGTCTCAGAAAGCCTTCTCCGAAGGGCTGACGGATGGAGAGTGATGGAAGACCTGAGTGGTAGCGACCACAACTACATCACCTTCCAAGTCACTGACATCACGCGAGGGCAAANAATTCCCAAGGTATTTCACCCACAACGGGAGAGATCCACAATAGGGAGTCTTGTACCAAGCTGGTCGAAGAAACTATGCGCTGCATTCACCGGGCATGCAAAGCCGCAATGCCACAGAGGAGAGCATGGTCAGGTAAAAAACAGGTATACTGGTGGAATACCGAATTGCTGAGCTGCCATAGAATGCGGCGTCTCGCAACGCGCGCTCGTGGTAGACCTGAGTCGCTGACCAGAGCAGCAGCCTACAAAAGCGCTAAGAAAGCACTTGGGGCCGAGATACAGAAGAGTAAACGGAACTGCTGGAAAGCGCTATGTGACGAAGTGGATCGCGATCCTTGGGGCCAAGGATACAAAATAATGACTGATGAGGTCCGAGTTAAGAAAATAGTGGATGCACTACTTCCCACACACCCACTAAGAGCAGATATAGCGTTCGTCGAGGAGCAAGCCGAGGCACCACTGTTTTCGACAGACGAGCTGACGTTAGCCCTGCGAAGTATGAAAGCCAGCAAGGCTCCAGGCCCCGATGTCATACCAGCGCCGGCAATCAGGTTAGCAGCAAAAGTTAGCCCTGATCTCCTGCTTAACAGGTACTACAGCTGTCTTAGGGCCCGGGTCTTTCCAAGCCCATGGAAGAAGGCGGGGCTGGTACTTATACCCAAGGGCAAAGGGGACCCAAACTCTCCTTCATCTTTTCGACCAGTCTGCATGCTAGACACAGCAGGCAAGATGATGGAGAGTCTGCTCAAAATACGCTTGACGTCAGCCATAGAAAGCAAGGGAGGCCTTTCACCCCGACAACATGGCTTCAGCAATTGGCGAAGTAGTGGAGGTGGTGCATAATGCCGAAGAAGCCTGCAACCAGGCTCGGCCAATAGTGTTGTTAGTCATACTGGACGTCAAGAACGCCTTCAACTCGGCAAGATGGGCCGACGTGCTGGAGGCCTTAGGACGGTCATTCAAGGTTTCAACATACTTGCTAGATATGATCCGGGACTACCTCAGAGATCGTTGGCTTTTGTACGATACAACACAAGGTGAGAGAAAGAGACGTATAACCGGCGGAGCGGCACAGGGATCTGTACTTGGTCCGGACCTCTGGAACAGCTACACAGAGATCGTGCTCCTCACCAGGAAACGGATCCCGACAATTATAAACATGATGGTCGGACCTCATTTCGTGACAACTTCTAGGTCTACAAAATATTTAGGGGTGACGCTTGACAGCTCACATTCTGGGAACACATCCATGGAGTATGTGAAAAAGCTGCGCAGAGCACGGTGGCTCTAAGCCGGCTGATGGCGAGCGTGGACGGCCCGAAGCCATGCCGCAGGAAACTTCTGATGACAGCAGTCCAGTCGGTGCACCTGTACGGGGCAGAAATATGGGCCGACGCATTGAAAGCCAAAAAAATACCGGATCAAAATGTCTTCGGTCCAGAAAAGAGATTTACAATCTCAGTGCCGAGATAGGTCGAGCAGCTGTCGCGNGCGTGGACGGCCCGAAGCCATGCCGCAGGAAACTTCTGATGACAGCAGTCCAGTCGGTGCACCTGTACGGGGCAGAAATATGGGCCGACGCATTGAAAGCCAAAAAAATACCGGATCAAAATGTCTTCGGTCCAGAAAAGAGATTTACAATCTCAGTGCCGAGATAGGTCGAGCAGCTGTCGCGGCAAGGTCGATGGACGCTCACCCTGATAGCCGACCTTC